CCTGATGTTCTGGGATCCTGGGATCATGACCTGAGCTGAAGGTAGAGGTCTAACCCACTGAGCCACCCAGGTGCCCCTTTAGTTAGATTTCTTATTAGGTGCCTTTCATTATGTTGAGGAAATTCGTTTCTGCCTATACCTATGATTTGAGAGTTTTTGTTATGAATGGTATTGAATTTTGTCAAAACTTTTTCTGCATCCATTGAATTGATCGTTTTTTTTTTTTTCTGTTAATGTGGTGAATTGTATTGATTGATTTTTCAACTTTTAAAGCAGCCTTGCATTCTTAGGATAACCTCACTCTGTCATCATCTATTATCCTTCTTATAAGTTGTGGTGTTTTTTAAATTCTGAATTCAATTTTTAATAGACATAGGACTAAAGTTTCAGTTTCTTTTACTACCGTCTTGGTAGCTCATTTCTTTCAAGGATATTGTCCATTTTACCGAAACTATCATATTCTTATAAGATTATTTCTAATATTTCCTTGTTATCTATTTAATACCATTTTAATGTCTGTAGGCCCTGTAGTGATTTTTTTGTCTTTCATTCATTTTTTAATATCAATAACTTATGCTTTTCCTTTTTCTTTTTTTAACTAAGTCAACAAAATTTTTATTTTTTATCTTCCAATCCTTGTATATATGCATACACTTATTATAAAAACCTGACATATAATAGCATATATAAAAATTGCATATTTCTCCATCTGCGAATATATATTTTCAGTGTCCATGTATTTAATCACCTTTTTAAAAACCATACACTTTATTGATGTATGCTTGCCAGACAGAAAGAGCTGTACTTATTTAACATATACAGCTTTATGAGTTTGGAGATAAGCATCCACCTGTGAAACTGTCACCATAATCAGTGCCATAAACAAATCCATCATCTCCGAAAGTTTCCTCCCATCTTCTTTATTGGTTTTTAGTTTTTGTAATAAGAACACTTAAGATCTACCCTTTAGCAAATATTTAAGTTTGCCATATAGCATTGTTAACTATGGGCACTATGCTCTCCAGTGGATCTCCAGGGCTTATTTATCTTAACCTAACTGGAACTTTGTACCCTTTGACCAAGACCTTATTTCCTCCTCTTCCCAGGCCTTGGTAACCACCACTTACGAATATTGGTCTTTTATCTTTTTAATGCATTATTCTCAAAATTGAGGACCTCTTGAGAGCAATTTTAAGATCCTCCAAAATACCTAATAGACTTCTCTGCGTACAGGGTACACCGTGCTTGTAGGTTGAATAAAGGATGATAAATACTTAATTGCAGAGTGTAGATGCAACCCTTGTTGTGGGAATATACATTGGTACAGCCACAATGGAGAACAGGAGGGAGGTTCTCAAAACATGAAAAATAAAATTGCCATATGACCCAGCAATCCCACTTCTGGACATAGAAACCAAAGGAACTGAATCAAGATCTTGAAGAAATAAATGCATTGTCGTGTTTATTGCAGCACTATTCAACATAGCCAAGACATGGAAGCAACCTAAATGTCCTTCGAGGGACAATAGATAAAGAAAGTGTCCTATTTATGAATATAAATATTGGAATATTGTTCAAAATACAATTGGAATATTGTTCAGCCTTAAGAAAGAAGAAAACCTGCCTTTTGCATTAACGTGGATGAAACTGTAGCACATTACACTAAGTGAAATAAGCAAGACAAGAACAAATACTACATGATTCCATTTACATGAAGAATCTAAAATTGTGAAAGTCCCTTTTTTCTTTTTTTAATCTAGCTAGAAGTTTGTCCTCAGTCTTATTAATCTTTTCAAAAAACTAGCTTTTAGTTTCACTGTTTTTTTTTTTTTTTTAAGATTTTATTTGTTTGAGAGAGTGAGTGAGAGAGAGAGAGAGCGTGAGCGCACAAGAGTGGGGTCAGAGGGAGGGGGAGAAGCAGATACCCGCTGAGCAGGGAGCCTATCTTGGGGCTGGATCCCGGGACCCTGGAATCATGACCTGAGCTGAAGGCAGACACTTAACGGACTGAGCCACCCAGCTGTCCCAGTTTCATTGAGTTTTCCATATTTTTCTGTTTTAGACTCCATTGTGTTCTAAGCTTGTCTATTATCTCTTCCTTCTTCAGGTTTAATTTGTTTCCTTATTTTTTTTAATTTAATTTTTTATTTTTTTTAGTAATTGCTCCACCCCGTGTGGGGCTGGAACTTGTGACCCTGAGATCAAGAATCATATGCTCTTCCAAATGAGCCAGCCAGATGCCCCTCTCTTTTCTTATTCTTAAGATGGACACTCTGATCCCTGGTTTAAACACGATCTTTCTGATAGAAGCATTGGAAGCTATAAAATCTACTTTTTTCTTTTTTTAAGATTTTATTTATTTATTTGACAGAGAGACACAGTGAGAGAGAGAACACAAGCAGGGGGAGTGGGTGAAGGAGAAGCAGGCTTCCTGCGGAGCAGAGAGCCCATTGCGGGGCTCGATCCCAGGAACCTGGGATCATGACCTGAGCCAAAGGCAGACACTTAACCAACTGAGCCATCTGGGCACCCCCCTATAAAATCTTCTAAGAGGAGCATTGGTGTAGAAGTACATGTTCACATCTCTGAAGTCAGGATGCATCTTAAACTCATGTTCATCTCACATCTATATTTGTCATACTTTTTTCTTTCTCAGTGGTACAAATGGTAAGGATGCATCTCACAATTATTAGTGTCCTAGAGTCAATGACATGTGGTTATTATACAATTCTTTGGAACTTTGCTTATCTAGTAGTTGCTTAGTGAAGATCCTGATACGATGCTCGTGAGTCATAACTCTAATAGCTACTTTCTCTTTGCCAGTGAGACCATTGTTTATACTTGGTTTAAAGCATGAATTTTGGTCTTTTGCCTTTTTATGCATTATCCTCAAAACTGAGGGTTCCTTGAGAGTTATCTTAAGATACTCCAAAGTATCTAATAGGATATTCCTCACACAGTGTACCCAGTGCTCATAGATTAAATAAAGAATGATAAAGAATTAATTGCTCAGTATAGCATTAAAATTGCCCCCCAAATGGAAGATTTCTGACTTTACAGTTAATGTGTACAAGGGGCACCTGGGTGGCTCAGTCATTTGAAGGTCCGACTTTTGATTTCAGCTCAGGTCATGATCTCAGGGTTGAGATCAAGCCCCATGTGAGGCTCTGCACACAGTGTGGAGTCTGCTAGAGGATTCTTTCCCTCTCCTGTTGCTCCACCCCCTTCTACCCCACTCTCTCTCTCTCAGATAAATAAATCTTTAAAAAATTGCAAGTATCTATATATTACCGGATATCTTTCACCTTCAGCGAACACACGTTGTGTTGTACAGCAGTGCATTTTTTCTACCTAAAACAGATGTCTTTTTAATTCATTTTCAATCCTTGGTTATCAGTTGCTGCATTTTTGTTTCTTTGTTTGGACATAGATTACCTTTGTGTCACTTTTGTACTCTAAATTAAATATGTAAGTATTTACACTGCATACACCTCACTATTTGCCTATTTCCTTATTTATGTCCTCCAGTATGTGTTTCCTTTAGGTCCTTTATCTTTGTGGTTTTATTTTTCTTTAATGGAGTGAAATAGAGCATGAAAAGATTTTGGAAAATTTCTTTAGCTCTTTGAAACCCTGCTGGTCTCTTTGAAGCCCTTGGAGGACTCCCTAACAAGGCAGTATCCAGTCCAGAATTCTACAGGCTTTAATCCTCGTACAGTCTACTCTTGCTCTTCTAAATCTGGCATTTCAGCAGATAAGGTTTTCTTGTCTTTCTTTCTTCCTTTTTTTTTTTTAAGGTTTATTTATTTTAGAGAGAGAGAGAGAGCATAGGAAGCAGGGGCAGAGAGAGAGAGAGAGAGAATCTCAAGCAGACTCCCCGCTGAGCACCGAGAGGCAGGGCTGGATCTCACAACCTGAGATCATGACCTGAGCTGAAATCGAGTTGGCCGCTTAACCAACTCAGCCACTCAGATGCCCTACAGTTTTCTTTGTTTTTCATTTTGTTTGTTTGTTTCTCCTTGTTATAGAGGAGTTACATCACATACAGGTTTACCTCAGATACTGACTTTAGAGCTCAACCCCAAAGGGGAAAATAATGACTGTACTGTACTCTTAGCTGCCTATAGCAGTAAAGAGAAGAGCCCAGGGGTTCATTCTTAGATTGCAAAAATCTCCTCTATCAGCAAACCTGCCTTCTTCCCGGCTCAGAAAGCCCTGGGGTCCAGTGGACACCCCTTGCTGGTCTAGGAAGTCAGGGTTTATATTTGTCAGTTAGAATACTCTTGGTTTGGATGAACAAAATGCTCAACCAAGTGTGGCTTCAAGAGTGAGAATTTATTTGTTTCCTTTAGTAAGAAAGCCACAGTTAGGCAGTCCTGAAGTTGGTGAAATGGTCTAGTGATTTCAGAGTTCTGGTCTTCCCCTTGGAATTTCAATATGGCTGTCCATATTGGATATGATATAAAAATCATATCCACATGCAACATCTGTCCTACTGCTACTTTCCCTGTTTGTGTGTGTGTGTGTGTGTGTGTGTAAGGCAGAAATCAAAGAGGAAATACTTGCCCATTAACCCCACGTGTGCCTTCTAGTATGTCTTATTGTCCAGGATTGGGTCACATTGTGCTCTGGGCCCATAGGAGTCTGGGGAAGCAAGTCTTGTAGAATGTTCACAGGGTAGAGTAGGAGTTAGGCTGAGGTTCCAAGCTTCAAGAAAGAAGCTGGAGAATGGCTGTTGACCAGGCCATCAACAGTATCCATATATGTGTATGTATCTGTACGTGAGAGAAAGCCAGAAGGCTTTTTTTTTTCTTTTTTTATGGCTCATGGCTCTTGTTCCCAGGTGAAGTTATATGTGAACTCATAGCAGAACTTTGAATGACCCGCCACACTGGAGGTGGGTGATGGCGTTTGGTTTAAAATTGCCTTTGTTTCCTACGACACAATCGGAACTTTATATTTTGTTTTAGTTTCTTAAACTCTTGCTTTTGCGGTTTCAGGTTGAGTCCAGAAATCTTCCTGAAACGCCCGGTGGTTGAAGGAAACCGTTGGAGATTGGACTGCATTCTCAAACGAAAAGCTGTGTGTATTCCAAACATACACCGATGTAATTTTTAAAATGTTTGTTGTCTCTGAAATGTCTTTCTTTTTCAAAGCCCTTCACACATAAGGACAACATTTTTCTTTAGAGTTTGACTGAAGTAGAATACTTGTTTTCAAGTTTTTTTCACTCTGGTTTTTGCCTGTTACTCTAGACGACATAAATATTTTAGCCTAATTCACAGCATGGATTATATTAGGAACTCTAACTTCTGATTTTTCATCAGTTATGGGCAGTTAATTTTATAGGCAAAAAAACCCCTGTAACAAGGTTTTATTATGGAATAATAAAGGGTGAAATGAAATGCAGCATTTTATTCTATTCATTATTCTGCCATTTGAGCAAAAGATAAAGTCATGAAGAGAATTATTTCAGTCAGATGGGGCCAAGCTAATGTAGAAGAGCATCGAAGAGGAAGGACATTAAGAATTGGTTGTTGCTTTGGTCCCAGTTTGGGGACAGTTTGTGGTAAAAATGGGAAATTATTTCCTCTCCAGTTGACTGTGTAGATTCTGGGTGAGCACTGAGTGTATTGTTTTTGGTCTAAAAAGTCAGTAACTGAAGCAGTATAAGCTCACAAATAACTACTTTACATCCATATTTCTAATGCTTGTTATTATGTAGTTGTCTCCCAACCATGTTAAACAAAGTTGAATTAGAATAGATCTGGATTTATTTTTTTTTAAGATTGTATTTATTTATTTGACAGACAGAGATCACAAGTAGGCAGAGAGAGAGAGGGGAAGGGAAGCAGGCTCCCCACCGAGCAGAGAGCCTGATGTGGGGCTCGATCCCAGGATTCTGGGATCATGACCTGAGCTGAAGGCAGAGGCTTTAACCCACTGAGCCACCCAGGCACCCCTAGATCTGGATTTATTATTAGTCATGTCCAAATTAAGAAGTGCTGGACTTGTTACTATTTTTTGATATTGTCTTAATCTTTTTTATTCTATCATTAAACATGCTAGCATGATTTGTAGATCCTGGGTAATAGGGGATAGCATTTTTCTGTTTCTCTTAGAACCGTGACCCATTTCTTCTTTTCCATTCCCCACATTCCCCTATTCCTTTCACCACTCACACATCTCCCTTCTTTCAGTGTCTTTTCCCTGTGCCTTTGCTTTAAGATTTCTGAGGGTATCCATAGATACAGTAAGACCTCACTGCAAGTATGGTGGAAAAAGAAGCTTTATTTCAGACACGTGTACTGCCAAACACCCATCATTTTCCTGGCAAGTGTAATTCATTGTCTCGATAGCATTCCAGTCACAAGATTGGAAATTCTGGTCCTGAAAAGCATTATTTGCATATTCCTTAAATAATGTTGCATACAGTTACTGAATGTCTCCTATGAGCCAAGTTCTACACTAATTACTAAAGGTGCCATATGTGTGAATAGGATTCCATCCCTGCCCATGGAGGGCTTGCTGAAAGACTTGGTTCAGTCTTAGCCTTACCAAACTTATTTCTATATATGGAATGGACTATAACTTTCTCCATGTTTCTCTATGTGAAATGGCATCTTTCCCAGGCGTCCTCAAGATCCCATTTTAGTTAAGTTGTTCCAGCCTTGCCTACCAATAGTCAACCATACTAGTAAATCCTTTTTTCAAGGTAACTATCAAACACTTCACCGCTGTAGGTTTCAATCAACACGTATTTGCTGAGTGCCTTCTATGTGCAGGGCACTTGGCTTATCATATGGGGATGTATATAAATAAAAGACATGATTCCTGACCGGAAAGAGCTTAAAACTCTATCTACACAAGAGTCAAGTGGGTACAGAGGCAGTGCCAAGATTCAAAGGCAGGAGGGAGACCATTGGGTAGCTCTAACAGGGAAGCCCCTCACAATATGAGGCATTTAAGGCATTTAGAATGGGCGAAAAATGTTTGAAATGACAGGAGGAAGTTTCTAGGTGTAGAAAATGTGGTGAGGAAACATTCTGGAGACAGGGATTCTGAAAGCTTTGTCAGTGACAGTAGAGTGACAAGGTTGATTATACTGAGTGTTAGCTTAAGTGGGATGCGGGGGATCAAGTGGGAAAGGCAGTTGCAGCCAGATGTAGAGGCTTTGTGAGCCACGACAGTAGTTTGGACTTTATGGAAGAAAGTGGGGAACTACTGGGGAATGGAGCCTGGTAGAAGAGGGATGATCCGATCAAGGTGGTGTGTGAGGAAGGTGAATCTGGCAGGAGGAGGAAGTGGGGAGAACTCAGGCCCGAGGAGCTACATTCTAGCTGACTTGAGTGCAAGGTGCCTAGGGGACATCTGAGTAAACTCCAGAAAGCTAGTGAATGCCCCAGCAGGGCTCAGGAAGTAGATCCTGAAGGCCTGGCCCTCTATGTCATGTTAGCTCACCTGTGTTTGCTCTCTCCTTAGGCTACTAGCCAGTTTACTTTTCTATCACTAGCCTGGGTTGTCTTTGCTTTTATGGCCCACAAACCCTGGAGAGGTCTTAGGTGAACACAGTGGCCAAGTAAATATTATTGCATGAAAATAGTGCTTCCTTTCAATTTCATCTGCTTCATGAAACTTGAAATTTTTAGATTGTACATAATGATTTTAAAAGATTTCCTGCAGAAATAGTAATATTATTAAATACAAATTTCCTATGGTTCACTTGGCAGAATCGCTCTTCCTTAATCTAGCTACACCACATTATTTTGGTCATAAATTTTTACCTCCCCGATCATTCTAAATTGACATTTTCTATTTATAAACATTGTTTCACATAAATAATTTAGTTTCTGAAACCCACTACCTTCACAAAGTATTGGGTTGAAATAACATTTATTCTTAAATTAATGGGTACTGGAGGTCCACAAGGCTGATTAAAATAAAGACTTTTTCCTTCTATCTCATTTTGTAGATTTGGGGGGAGAAATAGTTAAATAAAGACCTTTTCCTTCTATCTCATTGTGTAGATTGGGGGCAGTGTCTCTGCCTCATAGCAGATACATAGGCAAACATCTCTTATAATGGCCATTTTTAGGGAAGAAATACAATATTTTGTTTCTCTGGTGATAGCCAAGTTGGTATTTTCCCATTTCTTTGGCCTTTTGATAAGCAGTCTTATAATTTAAAATAGTATAAGGCAGCCTTGACTTACAGACTGATTACAGCTCAAGTCAACATCCCAGGGTTTCCCAGAGGTCTGCATGTTCTGCCCTTGCCCCAAGAGCTTAGTTGCATCATAGTTACGGCAACTATATTCCTGTATCCAGTGTGTATATTTCAACCCTGGAAACCTGTGATTTTGCTAATGGGATCTGCACCAAAAGAATCTTCAAGTGCAGCAACCCAGAGACTTATTGAAAAGGGTTTAGGTCCTCAGGTGAGATTTTGTTGTCAGGCAGTTTCTTTCTGTCCTAGACCAAAAGACACATTCTAGAGCTGCAATTAGTGATCATTAGGAGGGAAAGATGCCTGGGATTGTCAAATGAGACAAATAATCACATCTTCACCCAGAAGAATCAAACAGGATCTTATCAAAGTGGTGGGCTAGAGGGGCATGTCTGGGAAGGGAAGAATGTGTCTTCAACCTTGAGAACAATGCTTCAAATAGAAGTGGTTCAAAAAAAGAAAAAAAGCATAGGAGCGTTTGTGCTCTTTCACTTTGCTTACATTTGAGTGATGAGGGTATGATTTTTTTTTTTTTTTGTCTTTTACTTTTCATTTTCCCAAACTACTATACTCTCCGCAGAAGTCCTGATAAAATCAGGATTGTCTTGGGGATGCGTAAGTTAGGCTATCTTGAAGCAGTGGACAAACTTGGCAGCATTTAGGAAACATTGTGACCACAGTATCTTGACAAATTAGAGAAAACACTGGCTCAAAAAAATCTCTTTTGACTTTAACTATAAAAAATTCTTATTTTTTATTGTCATTACATGTATTTTATACATGTAAAGCTCCTAAAAAATTCCTGTGTCTAGTACTGTGTCTGGTTTACTTGATTCAACACTAATTAGAAAAGTGAACAGAACTTTCATCTTGTAAAATTTGAGTTTCACGAAGTTTATTCTGTGTTTACACCATGAAGTGTATTCTGCTAATCTTTCGGTTACATGACTTCAGCAGAGATAAGCAACATGGCATCACAAGCCATCCATTTTTCTACCTGCCTTATCAATACTTTTCTTCCTCCTCTCTAAGCAAAAAGTCATTTCCCCTAGGGTCATGAAAAGGCATTAGTAAAACACTGGATGCTTCAGATGTTTGGTTCTTAAATTACAGAATTAACATCAGTCCTTTTTTCTTTTCTGTTTCTTTTCTTTTCTTTTTCAGTGTTCCAAGATTCATTGTTTATGCACCACACCCAGTGCTCCATGCAATATGTGCCCTCCTTAATACCCACCACCAGGCTCACTCATCCCCCTCACTCGCTCCCCCCCTCCCAAAACCCTCCGTTTGTTTCAGAGTCCACAGTCTCTCATGGTTTCTATTTTAATTGGGCTTTCATTTTACACAAGTATTTCTCACGTTTTGTGTAAGTCTGCACTACTGTAACCTGGCAAATGCCTTCATTGTCAGAAACATTTTTCCTTTGCCCTTTGTAGTTTAGAGTTTATGATAGGGTTGTAATACCTTGACCAAAAGAAGAGGAATTTTATTGCTTTATGATCATAGAAATCTTGTCACTAGTTAATCATTTATTATGATATGGATGTAAGTAAATAATTATAAACCAAATTACCTAAAATGAGCTGTTTTCTTCAATTACTTCCTTATTAGAACTTTGTATGTAAGCTAAAAAGACTTGAAAGTCTCTACCCTGTTTCCTTTTTTTCTTTAAATTTTATCCTTTGGAGTTAATTTATTTCAAGGAGAAAAGACAAATTATAGAAGAAGATGTCAGGTATTAATAGATGGAGGGTAGTAATGTAATCCATTAGTGTTAACATCTCTATTATTTCAAAAATCCATTAGTTATGTAGGTAAATCAAAAACTGTCAGATTTAGGCCAGTTTCTAAACTGCAGCTACTGTCCTTCAAGTATGGTAGTTGCATAAGCCTGAGAAGCAGAATTTCATCCATTTAAAACAAATGAACCATGATGAGAGATGTCAGGTGTAACATTTTATAATTTAGGTTGCAATTTTGGGTTTTAAACTTTATACTGTATCTTTCAATGGGAGGCTTTTTTTAAATCACTGGTTTCCAGTGCACTCAAATAGCAGAGTAAATATGAACAGTAGGGGGAAAAAATAATGTTCTAGTTTTCATTTAAAGCCCTCTATCAGTGGTTTATTGCAGAGCCCTGAGGGCCAAAACTGTTAGAAGTTAATCAGTTTATTCCTTGCTTACTGTTTCACTTCCTTTTTTTTTACTCATATTTGTACTTTACACTTGGTTGCAATAATAGTTGCATAATTATAATCAGTAATAAGTTCCAAAACTCAGCTGTTAACCAGAAAGATTATATATATATTTTCATTCTATTTTTTTGAGTCAGAATGGGTCTTATAGTACTCAAATTTCATTAACGCAGCTTAGAACATATATTTAGTATGTGTTTCTCCAAAAATGTATACACTTTTCGCATTTTACAGAATGTTCGTACTTTGAAGTTATGTGTTCTTATAAGGATTTAGGGGCCAAAAATGGTTCTTAATATTGGCAGATCATTATTGGGAAATTATATATATATATTTGGTTTTATACCCTGTAACCTAAAAATATTAACTCCTATGTTACTTCACATTTTTGTAGCATTGTAAAAGTAACCAGTTCTTATAAATAAGATGTGTTCAACCTAATTGGCTTCTTAAATTAATGACTCAGATTTCCACTATGAACTATGCCCATGCTTAATTACCATGGATTGTTAATTTAAATTCTAACTAAATTGTCACTATAGTTTTATTAGGTATGTCACTTGTCACTATAGTTTTATTAGATATGCCTCTATTTCTAATACTTTAGAGGGTACTGTATCATGGGGAAATTCTTGCCTTTATCTGTAGGCTATCAAGTGCCTAGGTGTATGTACATTACCCAGTGTGTGTGCAGTGTGTGTCAGAATGCCTTCAGAGTTGCTGGATATAGATGATGCAAATTCAGATGTTGCAAATTGCACAATACTAAGGATGCAAAGCTAAAAAAGTTAAAAGGTCATACAAGACGTGTGGGTAAATGAGATAAGAGTTTCTTGGAGGAGTACATTCTGAACTGTATGTTGGTGAGGAAACCATGTGACTGGACAGGGAGAGGAGGAAGGACATTTAGGTGTGGGCAGATTCATATAGGATAAACCTAATCACTACACAGAACTCTAAGAGAAAATATTAGTTTTGTTTTCTTTTTTTGAAGATTGTATTTATTTATTTATTTGAGAGAGAGAGCGCGAGCACACATGAGCAGGGGAAGGGGCAGAAGGAGAAGCAGACTCCCTGATAAGCAGGGAGCCTGATGTGGGGCTTGATCCCCGGACCCTGAGATCATGACTTGAGCCGAAGGCAGACACCAAACCAACTGAGCCACCCAGGTGCCCCAGGAGTTTGGGTTTTTTTATACTACCAGCTGTTAGACATTGTCTTTTTGATAGTTAATATTAATAAAAAATGTTACGTGTATAGCATGTTAAAAGTTTATCAGGCTCTTTTGATTTAATTTGACCCTTACAACAGTCTTGTCTATCTTCTTTTAAGACCAGGGTCTCAAGTTAGATCAATGTTAATTTTGTGCTATTGTTAAAACTCAGGGATTTTTGGATGTTAGAGAAACTGACTTCCAAAGGAGTCATTTCACAAACAGACATTAATGATGTAATTGTGGATTAAGAGTATGAACCAATATATCCATCACTGAAGATAAAGAAATGTTTTTCTATTAAATGGTTTTTAATAAAGAAAAATTCTATTAAATTGCTCCAGAAACATTTAGGGGATATTTACTATAATTTACTGCATCAGAGTTTCATGTCACTGCTATTTCAACTAATTGAAGTATAATAAAAACCAAAAATTCTAATCCTGTAACATGAATCCAGCAAAAACTATGCTCAGTGACAAATGTTTGAAAATGTTCAGAGGTATAAGATCATCAGACACTTTCAGCAAGGAGGTTACCATTTCAGCCTTTTGGCTCTAATGAATCGCCTATTGACACTGTCTCCTGGTATGACAAGTCACGGGAATGAAAGGGAGATAAATTTTTATTTTTGATATTTGTATCTTAAAATACACTTGCGTGTCACCTTCTTGTATTGTATTCTCACTAAATAGTTTATTATACTTGTTGGTAGAGGAAAGTTTGTAATGCACGGGAAGGAAAAAGAGAAAGAAAATCCTCACCGACTTCCAGAAGCTCTCATTCCTCCCTGTGTTTTCTCCCGTGACAGCAACAGGGAGTGAGAATCTTTGTGATGCTTTACAAAGAGGTGGAGCTTGCTCTTGGGATCAACAGTGAATACAGCAAGAGGACTTTGATGCGTCTACACCCCAATATAAAGGTATTAGGTTCATCCTTCTGAATAGTACTTCTTCTCTGTGATTCTGTAGTTTTTCAGATGTGTTTTGCTTGGAGCAGTGTTATTTGTAGAGTTCTCTAATGGATAGTTTGAATAAATAGCATCATATCCTCTTTAGAAATAAAATACTCTGCTTTCTTGTACATCTGCTATTGTTCACATTTCCGACCCTGATCATTTAGCCAAGAACACACCTTTTAGAATTGTTTCAGAGGTCCTGTGCTCCTCATTAAGATTGTCCTGGAACCTCTTACATGTGATCTCCTTGTGACACCCCTTCAGTGCTGGTAGCAACAGAGAGCTCCTCTAGGATTTAAGAAGCTTTTTCTTAATAGCAACTTGTACAAAAAACTAATAAAGTAAATAAACACACGAAGCAGTTTTAAAAAAAGCTATTCAATATTTACCAGAGATTTAAAGCCTATCAGTAGTTATTCCTCAGTCTTTGAGATCTAGCAAAGCAATGAATCAATAAATCTCCAGCAGGCTTAAAATATATAATAATTATATATTTAATTTGGTTCCAAAACAGGTGTCCCATGTAAATAGTAATCAAAAGAGAGAAGGAGTGGCTATACTAATAGCAGATGAAATTGACTTGAAGTAGAAAAAGCTTATAGTAGACAAGGAAGGATGTTATATATTAATAAAAGTTTCAGTGCAGCAATTATAAACATGTACCTACCTAGTAATGACCATCAAACTAGGTAAAGCAAATACTGATAGAATTGAAGACAGAATCGATAGCTCTACAATAATACTTGGACACTTTACTATCCGACTCCCAATAATGTTGAGATTCCACATACAGTGGAATATATTTCAGTCTCAAAAAGGAAGGGAATTCTGACATATGCTAAAACATAGATGAACCTTGGGGACATTATTCTACATGAAATAAGCCAATCACAAAGAGGCAAATATTGTATGATTCTATTGATACATATGTAAGTCAAAGTCGTAGAGACAGAGAGTAGAATGGTGTTTCCCAGGGGTTGCAGGAAGGAGGGAATGGGGGAGTTACCGTTCAATGGGTATAGAGTTCCAGTTTTGCAAAATGAAGAGTTCTGGAGATAGTGGGGATGATTGAACGATATGAATACTTATTGCCACTGTACTGTACATTTAAAAATGGTCAATATGGTATATTTGTTATGTATATTTTACCACACACGAAAGAAGTAGGTTACTAAAAAAAAAAAAAAAAAGTAGTCTCCAAAGTTTTTGGAATGTTTCTACTTAAAGATATACAAAAATAGGTCAGTCTGGGATCATTCAGAAAGAATTCTGTTTGAAAGCAGGAGGTTAATAACATCTCAAAATATCTTTCAAATCAAGAGTTATCGAAGTATGTATATTCCTATATCCATATGCTTGCCATTTCACCTCAATGGCTGCCAAAATGTCAATATACTTATTAAAAAATTTGTCAGAGTTAGATGTTGGTTAAACACTTTTAGAGTTTTTTAAATAATAGCAGGTATAATGGAACTCCTTAACATAGAAAAAAGAATCAGCTATTGTGTTGAGCTGACTTTTACTGAACCATGTGGCCAAATTTCTAGCTAAATGGCAGCTTTGCCAAAATGTGGTATGGGGTGGGACTGGTTGAGAGGCTTAAAAAGTAACTAGGAGTCTTCTTCTTCTAAATATTGAGAATGAAATTAGAACTTCGGTTACATAGAACATTTTGGTATTTGAGTTATAGAAAATGCTATTCAGGGGAGCATGCCAAAAATAACAAGTCAGGAAACAACAGATGTTGGCAAAGATGCAGATAAAGGGGACCCCTCTTACACTGTTGTGGGAATGCAAACTGGGGCAGCCACTGGAACACAGTATGGAGGTTCCACAAAAAGTTAAAAATAGAACTACCCTGTGACCCAGCAACTGCACTATTAGGTACTTATCCAAAGGATACAAAAATAGTGATTTGAAGGAGCAAATTCACCCCAGTGTTTATAGCAGCAGTGTTCACAACAGCCAAACTATGGAAAGAGCCCAAATTTCCATCGACTGATGAATAGATATAGAATAATACACACACATACACAGACACACAGGAAGGAATATTACTCAGCCATCAAAAAGAATGAAGTCTTGCCATTTGCAATGATGAGGATGGAACTAGAGGGTATTATGCTAAGCAAAATAAGTCAGAGAAAGACAAATACCATAGGATTTCATTGATACGGGATTTAAGAAACAAAACAGGTGAACACAGAGGAAGGGGAAAAAAAGATTAAAAAAAGAGGGAGACAAACCATAAGAGTCTCTTAACTCTAGGGAACAAAGTGGGGGTTGCTGGAGGGGAGGTGGGTGAGGGAATGGGGTAAATGGGGTGATGGGCACTAAGGAGGGCACTTGTTGTAATGCGCCTTGGGTGTTATAGCAAGTGATGAATCACTAAATTCTGCCCCTGAAACTGATACTACATTATGTGTTAACTAACTTGCATTTTAAAAAACTCTTGAAAGAAAATGAAAGAGAGAAAGAAAGAAAGGACGGGAGGGAGAAAGAAAGGAAGAAAAAAAGCGTTATTCAGGGGAGAAAACAGATCTATGTTATTATAACATGAAGGAAAAGTGCATTACATGTGGGTTTTTCTTTTCCCTCCGAAGGTGATGAGACACCCAGATCATGTGTCATCTAGTGTATATCTGTGGGCTCATCATGAGAAACTTGTTGTTATTGACCAGTCAGTGGCCTTTGTGGGTGGGATCGACCTGGCCTATGGCAGATGGGATGACAACGAGCACAGACTCACAGACGTGGGCAGTGTGAAGCGTGTCACTGTAGGACCATCTCTGGGTTCCTTCACAGTAAGTAAATTTCACCTTTATGGAACTGCATAAACGGGACACGATTTGTACAAGTATGCAGTATTAGCATGACTGACTGGTTCAGTGAGGAGTGGCCTATTCTGGATGGACAGACCTGGTTTGAAATACCACCCAGCAAGTCTGTAACTTTGCATCTCTTAATCTCAGTCTCTTCCCTTGTAAGAGAGAAGAGATCCAATAGTGCATTTGCTCGCTCACAGTCAGCATCTTTGTTTCCCATTTAAATGATTCATTTCCTATTTGGAAGAAATATTCATAATCAAAAATACGCATCAGTTGGGCTTTAAGTTAAATAAGCAGTCTTATTACAAATGCCAAGGCTTTTGAAATCTTCCTTCTTAAAGACATGCAAATAGAGGCAAGGTCAGTCTGGAGTCACGGAGGGACTTCTTTCTGAATACTGGAAGTTAATAACTTCTCAAAGTACCTTTCAAACCAAGAGCTGCCAAAACATCCATCTGCCTATATCCATATGCAGCACTCACTGTTTCAACTTGAACCGTTGCCAAAATATCAATACGCTTATTAAAAATTTTGATGGGCTCCATCTTATTTTACTGCTGGATATCATGGCAACTTTTCTGGAAAAAAAAAAAAAAGAGAAAGATTTAGTGAATAAGTAGCCAGGAAAATAATTGGCAGAAAAAGCACTACTTAACATTTATCAGAGGCAGAAGTTCAGACGCTCAACAGTGAATATAACTTGTGTAAATGTGTTTGAGATACAAAGGTTAGCTGGTATGAAATTTCAAGAATTCGGTCTACTGAAGGAGGAACTACCATGGGACGCCTGGTCTCGCTCGGCGAGTGTTGAAACAGCTCAGAAGAATCCTCCAGTGCCCGGGGGTTGACCTCACCCACTACTGTGTGTCTGATAGAGAGCCTCCATCCGGGTGTGAACTTGACACCTCAGCTGGAATGAAGGGATCACGTGGCTGCGAATGTTACACAGTGTCTTTTTTTCTCCCCGCCAATAATTTTCTCAGGCTGAAACAACAGAGTCCATGAAATCCTTGAGCCTCAAAGATAAAAATGAATCTAGTAAAAATCCGCCCACCCTGAAGAGTGTTGATGATATGGATTCAAAACTGAAAGGAATAGGAAAGTCCAGAAAGTTCTCTAAATTTAGCCTCTACAGGCAGCTGTACAAGCACCACCTGCACAACGCGGACAGCATCAGCAGCGTTGACAGCGCCTCCAGTAAGTCTTGGTCTTTGCTACAATGTGTCTTGATGACAATCTGTCCTTCTGCAGCTGGATACGGTGTACCAGTCTTTTTAAAAACCTGTCTCTCTGGAATGGGGTCATAGGGGCTCTGTCACCCTATGATTCAGTATCCTTGCCATTTTGTGGCTTTGTTGGCCTCACTTGAGAACCGATTGATTGTTTAATTCACAGAAGGAGTCATAACAACCACAATTCGTATTTCTGATGGTAGCCGAACAACTCGGTGTTTCTAAAAAAATGCCAAGTTATAAAGAAAAAAGAAAAGTATTAGGCATCCTTCACTTTTCAGAGAGGAAATCTCCTTTCTCTTCCTATCCAGAAATACGTGAAGCTTTTATCTTCAGACATTAGATTGCCTACATCTGGTCAATGGGCTCTTCTTTCCACATCTGCCTTAAAGTTCGGCAGTTTTCTGTTGCACAGAATTTGTGACTGATTTTATAGCCTTGTCTCGTTTTAAAAATGACAGAGCCTGCATTTCGGTTTAGAAAACTTGATGTATATATATTTCTTTGTAAAAAAGAAAAAAAAAGAAATTTTGGCTTTCTCCAGGTTATTGTAATCACTGTAGAAGTCGTCAGAATTTAATCCATGGTTTAAAACCCCACCTGAAACTCTTTCGCTCTTCCAGTAAGTCTGAGCAGGGGCTCGCTAGACCTGACGTGGGTAAGTGATGTGTGAGGCGGCTGAACGTCCTCGGGCATCTGCTTTCGCTGCATGAGCAGAGCGAGTGTGTTTCTGGACTGGCTTTCTGTTTGCACCGCATCCACGCCACACGTGTTACTAGAAATTGTAATCTGATAAGCTTTTGCAAGAACGAAGTATTCGAGTAAGTTAATCAGGGCCCAAAATGCGGAGGTGGGGATGAAGAGGGATTTGGCAACAGATCACATAAAGGGATAAGTAACAGTCGTAACGAATGGTGACCACGGTAAAATCATAAACTGGTTTATTGTGTGCTGACTGCCTGTGATGCCGCTGAGCACTGGTGGTACTTGGTAGTACTAGCGTTATCGCCCTTTTCACAGACGAGGAAACTCAGGGTCAGGGATGATAAGCAGCTTGCACAATGGTGTTCCAGTTTATCAGCCTCCCAGAGCTCATAATTCAGATTTGTGATTTAGCAAAAATGCAGATTACTGCATCCCAAGCATGTAGCTAAAGTCCAAGGTCATGGTTCTAGTGTGCTATTGAGAAGACTGAAGTAGAGCCCAGTTTCCATGGCTGTGTACTTGTGGACCCTGGAGTTTCTCAGGGGCTCTGAGAGGAATTCTGAGGAGGTGGGCCCTGGACCCTCCCACCGCTATGGGTACTTGCTTCAAGCAGAGAAATCCTGATTCCATATATATGTTGAAGTTCCATGAGAATTTGTGTTGCGGGGAGGTGGGGAATAAGGGTCTGCTATTAAAGGAGTTTAAAGAGCACAGCTCTACATTTAAACTATGTAATGACTTAAACTTATATTGTCTTATAGGACCTGAAACCCGAATTAAACGTAGAGTGACTCTTCATGAGAAACTGAAACTGAATACTTGAGTTAACAACTTCCTTTCCTGAGGCTATAAACTGCTAGCTTCTTTGCAATGTCAGTTTCACTTGGGCACAGTAGACCTTGATGGGGCGTTTGGGTGGCATGGTTGGTTAAGTGTCCGACTGTTGCTTTCAGCTCAGATCATGATCTCTGTGGTCATGGGATCAAGCCCCGCACTGAGCTCGGAGTAGCTCAATATTAGCAGTGTGTGTGGTGATCGTTTAAGAACTTTTGCTCTGTTGGGACATTGGGTGGCTCAGTCCTTAAGCGTCTGCCTTCGGCTCAGGTCATGATCCCAGGATCCCTGCTCAGCGGGGAGCCTGCTTCTCCCTCTGCCTCTGCTACTCCCCCTGCTTGTCCTCCCTCTCTGTCAAATCAATAACAATCTTTAAGAAAACAAAACAAAAACAAAAACCTGTGCTCTTCAAATACTGATTGATTGCCTACTGACTACCAAGAGCTACACCAAGCGGTGAAAGTACACTGTCCAGACCTGAGGGGTTTACCGGCTGGTGGAGAGCTTCCTCACTCCTTACAGGGTCATGACACCGAGTCAGAGGCCCCAGGGCATGTGGCCACTGAGGGTTCTACAGCGCTGCCAGTGGCTGCCTCCCCCTACGGGGATCTGGGAGGTATCCGTAGGGCAGGTACCAGCTCACGTGGCTCTGGAAGGACATGAAGCTGAGGCTGAGAGGGAGGGGAGATCATTCCAGACCGAAGGAATAGTGTGCCAGCTGCACGAACACGTAACAGACCACGCCTGTCAAAATCCTATGAGAAATGTGGTGTGCCTGGCTTTGGGAAGAAAAGGCTCAGAAAGGCAGGTTGGCACCCGTTTGGGAAGAGCCTTCTGTGCACATGCAGCTTTTAGGATTTGACTCCCTATAGGCAGCAGGTGGTCTTAAAATGCTTTTAAGCCAGCAGTCTGCACTTTAGAAAGACAGTGCTGGGACATGTGGTGTCAGGGGGCAGGGGGCAGTGGGGGGGGTTCCAGTAGTCTCACTGGTGCGTGCTACCATGTATTCATTCAACGAATCGTTTTGCATCCAGTGTCCTGTTTGTTTTGTGCCTCTTGTGTGCCAAGAGCTGCATTTGTGATTTGTAGCTCTGCTTGTCTTCCTGCTTAGTTGTCTTTGTGGTCAGCATATCCCACGAATGTACAAACTGTTTAAGACAAAGTATTCACCCTGAGGTCAAACAGTCCCAGCAGAGCTCTTTGTGAAACATTGTAGTGGATGGCTGCTTTTGCGCCTATGTGATCGTAAATTCTGTGTGTTGTTGTGATATTTTTTAATGGATGTCATTTATGATGTTGGGAACGTACAATGTTAGAGCCCAAAGATTTTAGGTGCCATCTAGGCCAAATTCTTCCTTTTATGTGTAAAGAATTTCTGACCCCAGAAAATGAATGTCAGTGTCACCGAGCTTGACAATTCCAGGGCTGGAACAGGGGCTGCCTGCAAATTTGATTTTGCTTTTGAGATGCGCAAGACAAGAATTACATATTGGGTGTGCACCATATCGGTTGCCGAGGGCCAAAGGCGTGATTTCTCCATGGCCTCTGCCTTTCATGTTTCTCGGTCTGACCTGGCTTTACTGCTTTTTCACTGATGCTCCCAGTGAGTTCTTTATTCACCGTTAACGCTGTGGTCCATTCTTCAGTCATTTGGTAGATGCAGAGAAGAATGTTGAATTTCATTGTCCAGCAATGAGCCTGGTTACAGGCCTGCCTACCCACTGATGACAAACTTGTGTGCAGTGTGAAACCCTGCCAGCCCACAGCCTCAGACTGGAGGAACACATGCTGCCCTAGTTCTGAGCCCTAAGAGAACAGTCCAGAAGTCCCTAGGTGTTCAGTGAGCGAGAGGGGAGCCTCCCCCGACCCCTCTCTCCAGGGCCCACCTGAACACAGTCTCTGCTGCCTTCCAGACACCAGCTCCATCCGCAGTTTGCAGACAGGCATGGGAGAGCTGCACGGGGAAACCAGGTTCTGGCATGGAAAGGACTACTGCAATTTTGTCTTCAAAGACTGGGTTCAACTGGATAAACCTTTTGCTGGTGAGTGCCACGATAGCAGGGGACTGCTTATATTTTGTCTTTTACTTGTCAGCGTCTGAGCAAGTGCGCATTGTGGGACAGAGTGTCCTTTGTTCTGCTTTGTTTTGTTTCAAATATTTGGTAAAACTTCGGAGACTATGGGCGGATTGTACAAGAAAAGAGTGTGAGGGGCGCCTGGGTGGCTCAGTGGGTTAAAGCCTCTGCCTTCAGCTCGGGTCGTGATCCCGGGGTCCTGGGATCGAGCCCCGCATCAGGCTCTCCGCTCCTTGGGGAGCCTGCTTTCTCCTCTCTCTCTCTCTGCCTGCCTCTCTGCCTACTTCTGATCTCTGTCTGTCAAATAAATAAATAAAATCTTAAAAAAAAAAAAAGAAAAGAGCGTGAGAGGTAGCTTACTGTGTGAAACCTCTGGGTTTCATCTAGGCATATTTTGGGGGTAACAATACATAATTCTACAAGAGCTGGTGTCCTCCCTTTGATCATCTTCTTTTCTGCGTATCATCTTCATCTTCCAGCATGAAAACGGTACATTTTCAGATTATCATCGTGCTGATGGATCGAAGAGAAGATAGAGATGGGACTGTATACCTAGCCTGAGGTTATTTCAACACAGAAATACAATATCAAGTCCACAACCTTAGATCATTTACACCAACTCACACCTTGTCTGGCTTAGTGATTATCTCCTACGAAGTGAAATGGACACATCCTGGGGGAGGTCCGTGGGGGCCTGTGCTCTTCAGTGTGCATCTATGTTTCCTTTGGCTATGGAGGTGTTGTCCCACCCAAGCCCAGTATGAGAGGCACAGTGAATGTTACCATGTTTGCTTTGCCGTATCATGGTCGGGTTGGTGCTGGAATCAGAGGGCTCCATCCCCAGCCCAGCAGTTAGTGATGATCCGTGCCTGGGGCCCCTGGGCAGATTTCATTGACAGATACTCCACGCCCCGGATGCCTTGGCATGACATTGGCTCTGCAGTCCACGGGAAGGCGGCTCGGGACGTGGCCCGTCACTTCATCCAGCGCTGGAACTTCACAAAGGTATGTGGATTGTTTTATCATGATTCTGTCCACATAGAGAGAGAGAGCCTGGAAGAGGAGAAACTTAAAGAGAATGGGCCAAGAAGATGCTGTGGTAGCCCATCCGCTCTCGAGTGCCTGCTTGCCAGAGCACAGGGAGATAGATGGCACTTTTGGGGCCTGTTGTGATCCTTTTCACATTTTGGGTACTCTGTTGATCAAGCATCTGGTTTGGGCTGGTGGGTCAGCTGGAGGGCTGTTGTAGGGGGGCAGGGACCTTGTTTAGATGGGAGAGCTCGAGCTTTGAAGTCCTTCCTGTCCTGGCATTACGCTGGGTTCATACTGGTCCAGACTTCTGGGAGGCAGCTCTGAGTGAGGGGAGCAGTGTGTGAAGATGGGGCCATTTCCCTTTTCTTCAGACTGTGTTTTATGCCTTCATTACATATAGGAAGAACTTAAGTACCTACCTTCCAGGTGTCATTAAGGTTCCCTCTCATTTACTATAAATTATGACAAGGAATTAGTCTCCTTGATAATTTGGGAAGAAATTGTTTCATCAACAACTTAGAATCTCATCTGATCTTTCATTTACGTAAGCTTTTATTTACACAAACCTTACAACTTTTTAGAAATAATGGAAATATTTTTTAAAGACTTTTTTTTTTAAAAGATTTTATTTATTTCACAGAGAGAGATCACAAGTAGGCAGAGAGGCAGGCAGAGAGAGAGATAGAGGAGGAAGCAGGTTCTCTGCTGAGCAGAGAGCCCAATGCGGGACTCGATCCCAGGACCCTGAGATCACGACCCGAGCCAAAGGCAGAGGCTTAACCCACTGAGCCACCCAGGCGCCCCTTTTAAAGACTTTTTAATTTATTTTAGAGAGTGGTGGGGGAGGGCCAAAGGGAGAGGGAGAGAGAATCTCAAGCAGAGTCCCCACTGATCATGGAGTCCGAGAAATAATGGAAATATTTTTAACAAAAATTAAGGGAGCATGAATGAATAAATGAAGGAGTATTATTTTAACCTACTGGTATCTGTGGTTGGTGTTGGGATTTCCAAAGCCTGTATATTCTATTGCTGGCAGGATAAATTGGTAAACCCCAGAAAGCTTTTAAAAAACTCTACAAGCTTTAACTCAGAAAATCTTTTTTGGGTATTTAAATTAAAGTCATCTGGGGATGCCTAGGTGATTCGTTGGTTAAGCATCTGCCTTCGGCGCAGCTCATGATTCCAGGGTCCTGGGATTGAGTCCTGCATTGGGCTCCCTGGTCAGTGGGGAGTCTGCTTCTCCCTCTGCCTGCTGCTCCCCCTGCTTGTGCTGTCTCTCTCTCTCTGGAAAATAAAGAAATAAAATCTAAAAAAAAAAAAGAAATAATCTGATAGGTAATTTTTTGATATTTCTTCTAATCTGAATAGGAAAAACTGAAATGCACATTAATAGGAATTTAGTTAACAAACTATCGTTCTGTATGATTTTCTTAGGAAGTTTTAAAAATAGGATATACGGTGCTATATTGCTATGACAAGATATCTACAACATAGTAAGAAATCAGTTCCAAAACAAATACCATTTTTGCCATTATATACCTCTATAACTCTAGATTGCATATAAGCTTTCTTTAAAAATATGAAACGATACATGCCCACTACAAAAGGTTAAAAAAAAAAAAGGGCGGGGAGGGGGGAGGAGTTCTCTGCCTCTGGAAAACAGAAAGAGCACAAAAATAATCTATTAAAACGCTCCACTGTGAGCGTTTTTTTTTCTTTTTCTTATTCAAATGACTCTGAATTTCTTTTATAATCACAAAGTAGGGAGGAATGGAGCTATTTTCTCACATGGATCTTTTCTTTTTCTACCTGTTTTTCTTTATTTTAGATTATGAAGTCAAAATATCGGTCCCTTTCTTACCCTTTCCTGCTTCCCAAATCTCAAACAACAGCCCATGAGTTGAAATACCAAGTGCCTGGGTCCGTCCATGCCAATGTACAGGTAAGGCTGGCTTTTTTTTTTTTTTCCACTGAATGCTAATGGGTAAAATTACTCTTCTTGGATTAAGTGAAACACTGGTTTCAGATTTTTCAATGAGGACGACGCCAAAGCAAATCTGAAGAGACCTTTTAAATTTAATTTTATATTTCCTATTTAAAGTGTATTCCATTTATCCTCTTTTTAGAACTCTTTTATAAATATAACAGATGCACTGTTTTACTTCCTTTACATGTGTTACCTCTATCACTCGTCTCTGATTCTACACTGTAGCGTAATCACCATTATGTTTACGTGTACACCTTTTATATCACCTGTATTGTCAATTTCTTCAGCCACACACTCATCTCTTTTATGCCTCTGTTCCTCCCACTGTAGCTGTCTTAGCGTCTTACACTTACACTTATCCCAGAGTCAGTGATGGATAATCTTCTTAACTGAGTCACTTTATAACTGAAATATAAAACAGTCGTTGTTAAGAAGCCTTTCCCTTATGAGAGGGTCTCACAGAAAGCATGTGTATTCTTAATCTGTATAATCTTTCATGCATAAATTGTAAAAACATCAAATGCTCGAGAAATTTATATTCCTATCTTTTTGCCTTTTTAAAAAAATTTAGTTTTATTTTTTTTACTACGTTTGATATTATTACTGATAGGTTGCAGAATGACTCCACAGAGGGTTAATCAGTTTGGAGTAGCCCATCTACACTTAAAATATACTTTTTAAAGTTTCTTTGTCCTCCATTCATAACATTCACTCTAAAGGGTCTGGTTTTAGTTTCCTCAGAAATGTATTAAGTTTACATGTAAGTTAAGAATCTTTATGTCCCAAGGATTCCAGTGAATGCGTTCATAATTGGAAAATGTGTAAGTAAATAAATATTCTTAGGAAAGGCCAGTCAAGGAAAGGCTTGTCCTTTAATTCCTTCTGAAGTCACCCTAGCAACATGATACACACAGTGAAGCAGGGACGGTTTCCGGGGAAGCACCAGGAATGTGGCTGAAACTTCATATCTAAGAAGCTAATTATAGTTCAATCTAATTTTAGTTCCTAATTAACCAAATGCCTTTTAGAGGCTCTTTTAATAGAATATGGAATTTGCTTAATGGATCCCATAATTTTACCACATCCAGTCGAAGCATCTCAAATTACACATAGGAAAATTAAGACCCACTGGGGCTATGAGACTTGTCCAGGGTCACCGGTTGGTTGTACGTCGGGGTGGAGTTGAAATCCTGCTCTTGTCCGCCTTTACCACAGCTCAAGTATCTTGAGATCATCAGGGGCTGAACTAGGATGGGCCACCTTTGATATTGCCTTTTGTTCAAGGTCATCACTATCAGCATCAAAAGTATTAGGTAAGAGAACTGAGTGGGTCAGTTGCTTAAGCATCTGACTCTTGATTTTTGCCTCAGGTCATGATCTCAGGTTGTGGTATCAGCCCCGCATTGGGTGTGAGGCCTGCTTAAAAATCTCCCTCTCTCTCCGCCCCTCCCCAACCCCCCTTTAAAAAAATAAAAAAGGATTGTTTAAGTAAAGATCTAGCAGTCTGCTACTGACATCACTAATACAGATTTATATAATCTGGACATGGATTGTAGTGACTATGATTACGTAAATGAAATCCCTAAATCAGTTACTTTGTACTATATACAAGTAGAGGTATTTGTAGCTAAGAAATCAAAAGACATTTCAGGCCACAGATCAGCTGAGAGAACAATCAAAGAGATAGACCACTTGAGAGAAATACCTATAGCAAAGACTGAGTTAGCCCAGGCTACAGGAGACAATTAATTCAAACTTAGAGGCACAGATATATATATATGCTCATATGTAAGTTAATGAATATTTTATGAACCCATTTAATGTTATTCTACTTGGAGGGAAGAATTACTCATGCTGTAAGATAACACAGTAGCCTTCATGTTAAGAAAACAAGAGAATTTAATTTAGGATTTGAGATGGGATTAAAATTGACTCAGTGATCAACTTATTGAAGTTAGCAGATGCGAATGAAGCATCTATTGAAAAAGAATTTCTGGGAATTCTATTTTTGTGATCAGCAAACGAAATTGTATGCTGGCGTTTCATAAACATACGTCTTCTCTTACCTGCTGTTGGACCCTGTTTTATATCCTCTCACCCAGTCCCCTGGCACGGTACATAGATCCTCTGCGTGTACACTCTATTGAATGACTCCTGAGTCCCCTTCTTTGCATCACTGACCCGTGGGGCTGGATCTGGGGTTTCCTGGATATGCTTCTATGTCCGTCCTCCGTGTGCTGGGGTGGCCTGCACTCCAGAAGCTCTAGGGCCAGTTGATTTGAAAGGAGGTCTACCAAGACTTACTCATTAAATCATTTATTCAGTCAGCGTATGTTTATTAAGTGCTATCTGTTTGCACAGTGAAGTCATCCATGCATACTTGCGGTTGAGGAAGAAGACAAAAATTCTCTGCCTCAGGATGCCTGGGTGGCTCAGTCGGTCAGCGGCTGCCTTCGGCCTTCCGCTCACGTTATGATCCCTGAGCGTTTGGATCGAGCCCGGCGTTGGGCTCCCTGCTTACCAGGAAGCCTGCTTCTCCCTGTCCTCCCCACTCCTGCTCTCTGGTGCTATTTCTGTCTCTCAAATTAATAAATCTTTAAGAAAAAAAAAGTTCTGTGCCTCTGGAAGCCTCGGTTAGCTGGGAGAGGGAAAGCTGTGACGTTGAACTATTCAGTTCACAATGCTAGGTGTGGTCCAGGACTAACCGCTAGCCTGAAAGTGGGGCCCAGCATGCTGGGAGGTCTGGCAGTGAGGACGGGAGAGCTGGGCATCTCCTGTAAGTAATAAGCCTGCCTGCTCCGGGGATGGTAGATCGACTGCCACGACCATTTGCTCTTGATGTGTTAGCAGGTAAAGCTGAGAGGCTTAAGGCCCGACTGGGGATGCCCCTGAGTGCCGGCCTGGGAAATCTGGATCTGATCCTCGAAGGCATTAATGAACTTTGGACTTTTTTTTTTTTCTCCCTATCCTGGAAAAATTGGGATATAGGAATGCTTTATGAAAATTAACCCAGATCAGAGTTTACAAACCTGGTTTTACCTGTGAAATGCTAACAGCTATGCCAACAAAAATATTTCCGTGGACAGAGAAGTTTTGGCAGATTTTCTAAACACAGGATTCCTTAGTACCTTTGTTACACTGATGGGTATCATGGAGTTGCTAAGAATGAAGGTGCTATGAGGATCTTCCCAGCTGAGTGGCTGGAGGATCGCTCACTTGTCATGTGTCTGTTTCCATCTCTCTGAACAGACACACTTGGGGACCTAAAGTTTATACATACCAAGAACTTAGACTGGAAAGAGAGTAAAAGCAAGGACACCTGTAAGGAGGCTGCGGCTGTAATTCTAGCACAAAGTTTGCATTTGTAAATTAGTATTCTTTTTCTTGAAGACGACTCCCCCACAATTTAAGCAGTGTCACTGGTAGCTAGAAGATGTTTCTCAAAACTGCCAAAATAACTCCAGTTGTGAAAGCGGCAGGGACAGCTAGGCAGTCCCAACTTTTTGAAGTCAGGAAAGTCTGAGAGGACCAGAAACCGAAAAAAGAAAAGAAACCAGCCTGCTTCATTTCTCCTTTTCCGTAAAGTTCTGACCAGTGTTGTTTCACTGTGTGTTATTTACTGGCTTTCTACTTTATTCGTCTTGTTCTAGAAATTATTATTTTCAGGTCATGGGTGAATAGAGCTTAGAGGCCCAAAGCAATAATCTAGCTGAATCCTTGGTTTTTCAGAGAATCTGGAAGGGAGCCAGGAGATGGGACCCAATGCGTTGTAGGTAACTTGATCTTTAAAAAGTTTAGTGTCTTTTAATACTTTTAGGCCCTTCACTCTCTCAGCTGTCATGTGGCAATAGCCAGATAACTCTTATATACTCTCGGTTGACAAATTTGACGCTACTTAATAAAGTCCTTTCTTGGGTTTATTCTCCTTTTTTTTTAGGTTTACTCTTTTAAAAAAAATTTTAGCATAATTTTTTACAGTTTATGGCTTGTAACATAATTTAGAGCCCACAAGCTTTAATTAACTTAAAAGGAACAAGGGGATGTAGCAAGGGGAAGAAGTAGATTATAGAGTCAAAGTGTTCAAATCCCAGCTTTGCTACATACTAGCTGTGCAGCCTTGAAAAATTACATCTTCATATGCATTTTTTTCATCAATAAAACAGATCATAACAGTATCTGCCTCATAGGGTTGGTGGCGAGAGCTAAATTAATCGGTGCCAACAGCACTTGGATTATGTTAGTATTAGCTTCAGTCCTCAAGCTTTCCCGAGTGTTTTCAAGAGTTTGGAACAAAGCAGTGGACATTTCTCTGGATGGGTCACAAGGGTAGTTCTAGATGCAAAAATCTAATTTATGCCATATATTTATTGACATGGAGAGAAAGAACATTTGACATAATAGATAGTCTGTAAGATTCATGTTCTTTTATTTGCAATAAGGAACCCAATGATTTAATACTTTTAACACAAAAACATTGGGTCCAGTCGTCCTTGGTAATCCCACACCAGCCATGATGCACAGCGGTCGCAGAAGGCTTGACACCAGTAGCCAGGGTGACTAGTGAGGGAGAATAGAGCCAGGGCAGGGGGAACGGAGGCTGCCCCCACCAACACGAATTTCTGCTCCTAAAAAAAAGGCCATCTGAACCTGAGAGCTGACTTCAGCAACTTCCGCAGACACTTAAAATATTCTTGGGTGTTTCGCCTTGCAGCTGGGCATTCTCAGAAGCCTGCCAAGAACATTTAGAGGAGACAAAGCAGGGTAAAGGCTTGGGGGCCAGGGGTAGAGGTAAGATGGCTCTGAAACCACTCATGTACAGACAGTAAGTAAAAGAACTTGTTTTCTCCCGAAAAAGAACAATCTGGATGTCCAAGGGCTATCATGGCTATCAAGACAGAGGACACTCAGCATGTCTATCAAGGTAAAAGACAATGCCTGATGACAGATAGCATCAATACGGACTCAGTATTGAGAACAATCCTCTTAATTAAATTGGGCAGCTTATTGTAGAAAAGCCAACCCTTAGACCATCATTGTTGAGAAGTCCTGCCAAATGGAGGGAAATGATTCCGCTGGAGTTATGTCTTTGATCTCTCTGTTAAAAAAAAAAAAAAAAATTTTTTTTTTTTTTGAACAGAAAGGAAACTATACAGGCCAGTGTGAATGACATCCGAATTATATTAGTGGAAAAACTTGTTCCTACACTTGGGGAAAACGGCCACATGACTCTCTACAGGATGTCAACATAGGAATCAATGTAGATTTCAAAGGACTGTCACGTTCTGTGTTGTGAAAAAGTCGGTAAGGAGGGGTAAAAGAAAGCCACTTCACTCACCTCTAAGGCAGTTTCCTACCATGGGGGTTGTTTCCCATTTAGGGAACAGGTCTCCATGCGGGAGCACTTCTGTTCTTGCTGCTGTGGTTCTTGGCAGGAGAAGCCCCAGGAACGGGGAGTGTTCACCCCCTGCCCAGCACTGCACTGAGCATTTTGTGAATTGTCTTATTCAGTGTTCACCAGTCTCGGAACTGGACTCCTGTGTGACCTCTTACTTTCACAGAGGAGGAAAGCAAGACTTTGGGATGTTAAAATAGGCTAGGGAGGCACAGTGAGGTTGAGGCTGGGTGTCGAGTGGTCTGGCCCCACAAGGCAGAGGCTGTTTCCGCTGAGGTCTGGCTGGTGGTAACGGCCAACGGCTCTGGCAAGGCAAAGCTGCATGTCGACCTTGCCATGTAGGATCCTCTTCTCTTACAGCAGCCCCAAGTGCCCCCCACCCTGAGCAACTCTTTTCTTGTTTCTTTCTACCTTCCCAGAGCCCACATCTACATCTTTCTTCCTAGGACTTCTCTCCACTTAAGTTTTACTCTTCAAAAGTTTGTTTTCTCCCTCTTCTTCAGCCTCAAGCTCCACTCTTCCCTATTGTTCGGGCGAAAGGATCATCCCATGTTGTGTGGTGAATGGATAACCGTCAGTGGACAAAATTGGTAATTAGAAGGAACGGCTTGATAGTATGAGGTGAATTCTTGAACAAAGTTCATTCCTTGGTGTTCCTGGCCTGCTTTTCTCCTCAGTACAGACTGGAAGAATAAGGCTCAACAGTCTGAGTGCTTCCCTTGTCTCCTGACCCCTGCCACTGATGGGCTTCTCCGTCAAAGCCAACTTCTGCTTGAGAGACATATAAATGGCTCTTGTCCTAACAGTCGCTGGTCCATGACTGACTTGGGAGTTTGGGGAAATAGAAAGAAATTAAGATATGTGCTGAGTTTATAGGAAAGGAAAGCATTACAGTAAGAGAAAAGCAACTTGGGACAAATTCTAAGAAAGTTTTGAAAGTTTTCCTTCAAGAAGAGATTTCTGAATTTCAATCCGTACATTCAACTTGGGCCCACTGTATATAAGGGGATCAGGTCTTGTGGTAAAAGAAAAGGTTACCTTTCTCTCTGCCTCTTTGTCTATGTATCCGTCTATTTTTATGAAACAATTCAGCTATTCTGTACACGACTCAGTGCTTACCATGGTAAGTGTGACCACTGTCTGTCACTATACAACATTATCACAATTATCATTGACTCTGTCCACTATGCCATCTCCGTGACTTATATATTTTATAACTGGAAGTTTGACCTCTTAATCCCCTTCGCCTATTTTGCTTGAGAAGCCTATCTTTTAAGTTATAAAATAGGACAGGGTACAAAAGAAAATGACCGGTTCTACTTAGAGTTTAGAGGCTAAAACATAAAATTAGAAACATGGTCTTTTTATATGCTTTAAAATTGTGTATTCAGACTTGAGGTTTGAAAAGTGAGGGTTAGATTTGATTCTCCATATAAGGCCCATTTCTGCACATGTAAGCAAGAGTTTGAGGCTTGTCTGAGTTCCACGGGTTTAAAACAGAAATGCAGGACAAGTTGGTCGGACCAGTTAAGAAAAAGGAGAGAGTAAATCTTAAATTTAAAATAGAAGGGAGTCAGTCATAATGGGTTTGGCCTTTTTGGCTGTTTACAAACTTTCGAGACCATGAAGCATGTAAAGCAATAGAGTTCATCTGTATATCCCCTCAGAGTCTCTGGTTCAAGGTAGAGGCAAGACCAAAGGGAAATCTATATTTTTAGCTTTCTTGTGGAGATAGATTTTAACTAATTAGAATAATAGTAAATGAAGAGTAATACCAAGTTTTTTTTTTTCTCTATTACTTAAAAGATATGTTTAAATTGAATACAAAATGATGACTTTAGAGTTTGGACTCAGACAACGGGATTGATAATGCTGACCCCCCACCCCGCGAGGGGGGCAACCTCCCACATGCTCTGGTTTAATGGATATCAGGTTCCCCCACCCCATGCTGCTTATGCTCTCCCTCAGTTTCTTCTTTTGGCTTACAAATGGACTTATTTCTTAAAAGGGAAGCATTTACCAGTATCTTTCATAGGAAAGATGGCAAATACATGACTTGCCTGCTTTCCCTTCATGGAGCTGCCCGCCATCAAACTTAGCTTTCCTCCCCAGTGTGTCTCATTCCAAGGAGTCTCTTTTTGGCATAGCTGCTCCGGAAACTACTTCAGAATGATTAGACTTGAACTCTATCTGGCACTCCTCATTTATATCTTATGCTAATGAGCTTATTAAATCTTTGAATCTGGGCAAATTTGGAGAGTGAGAAAGGAAAGCATGTTTCTTTTTGAGGGGAACACTGAGAAATGACCACTAAAGGTGGTATATAAACTTCACCTCTAATCCTATACATCCAGTATCTACCACATGCCGTATACCGTAGCTCTGTGGGTGTTAGGTGATTTATTTCTTCACCCAGCAGCTGTGGCGCATGTGCATGTCTGTGTGTTTGTGTGTCTATGTGTGTGTGTGAGAGAGAGAGATCTCAGTTGTACAGTGGTGGAAATCAAGCCTCCCTGATATTAAAATGACTTGTTAAAAGTGAAAGAGCTGGTAAGGGCAGAGCTGGACCAGAGTTCCGATCTGGGCAGCATAGGTTTCCATTTTATACGTTGTTTCCAGAGTTCCGTAGAACCTGATAGTATGTATAGCAGAGGGTAAGAACCTTCTCGAGGTAGCCTACATTTTCAGAGCTATGCCCCTTGGCCACCAAATTCAACTTAAATTTGAGAGGACTAGCGGCTGAAACATCCATTTGCTCAGAACAACAAACATCATTTCTACTGATGGACAATAATGCAGTTCCTTAGAGATTACGTGAAATCAGGGTATTTTCCCAGTGTGGATCATATTTATTCATTTTCCTTGTGAGTTTTCTTTTGAGATATTTGACTATTGCTGCTCACAACTAAAACTTTCCAATAGCACATATTCATCTGATAAAATTAAATAAGTGTTTTGAAGGAAGTTATTTTGTAATGAATACCTCATAAGACAGAGTAAGATTTTGAGGATTAACTCAATGATGTTAGTAAGTACTAATTTGAATTTCCTGAGTGTTAGAGATGCAACTTTTAAAGTTGATTAGATCAAGAATGTTATGAGCTCTTTCATATATATATATACGTATACATGTATATATATATATGAACACAGACATAAAACCAGTTACATACTAGATCACTTTACAGATTCCTAATAATGTGGAGCCATTCTTTTGTTTTTAATTTCAGTTGCCCTCATGAGAGACACTTTCATATTCATTTCAAATCAGGAATCGCAAATCTATTTTTTACAGTGATTCTTCTTCAGTGTCATGCTATTACTTAAGGAAAATCAATTAATAAATATTTACTGAGCACCTACTCTCTGCTGTCTACTGCAGTCATAGAATACTGGAAAAAGTGACGAACAGTGGTTCTTAGTTTGAAAGGCTTGTATGTCCTCTGGTCCACCGTCCCAGGCACAGCCACACTCTCTGCAGCGGCTCTGACCCAGTGTGCCACAGCTCAAATGCATCCTCTAATGTTTTCATTAATAATAGCAAACACTTACATACCATTTGCCAGGTGGTAGGCCTCCTTCATACTTCCTGGTAATTCATCTAATCATCCCTATAATCCTATAAAGTAGATACTCAATTTAATAGAACAGAAATATGAGGCACCAGGAGATTGAGAAACTGGACCAAGATCAAAGTTACTGAGGGGCTGGGCTAAGCTTTGAACCAGGCAGTCTTGCTAAGTATGAGTGTACTTAACATCTACCCGGGTATCTGAGCTGGAGGGTCTTCATGAAATCCAGGTGGGAGCAGGTGAGGGTCTGAATGGGGGAGGCAGATGAGAAAACTGAGCAATGAGGAGATACCCAAGAATCAGCTGATTAAAGGCAAAGTCAAGGTTATATATCTAAATGAACCTATTGTGTTTTAAAATGTATTAATCTGAACAGTATTATTTGGGATAAAAGGAGCCAGCACATAGAGCTAGGGTGACCCTATTGTATGGTTCAAAATGGGACACTTTGGAGTATTGGAGAGTAAAAGTCCTATTACTAAAGTCCCCAGAACAGTGGGCATTCTGGTGTCATTGTGGAAGCTTCATGGAAGAAGAACGCCAGCGGTGGCCCTAGCCACTAGCATAGCCACTGGAAGAGGTACTTCTGGAATACTCTGTAGAAACTACACTTTATGGTTCCCAGTTTTGAATGAAAGCGGTTGTGGGTGGAGGAGGATATATTCATTCGGTAGTATAGACGAAAAAGGATTGATTTCGTTTGATGAATATGTCTGGCATCCTCTCAGCTGTTGGCTCACTTCCATTTCCAATTGCTGCCTTGCAGTTGCTGCGCTCTGCTGCTGATTGGTCGGCCGGAATAAAGTACCACGAAGAGTCCATCCACGCTGCCTACCTCCACGTGATAGAGAACAGCAAGCACTATATCTATATAGAAGTAAGTCCCGCTCATGTGAACTAGTGGGACAGCCTGCCTTCCCATAAACAGCTTACAGAGACTGCAGGGTCCCCAGACTCGCATCTGCTACATTAATTGGCGTATGGTGAGATGCCAGTTCGAGTCACCTGAATTTTTACCTCCCCAGCATACCTAACATGCACTTTGCATTTTCATCAACTCGGGACCCTAGTAGTAGTCCCCCAAGTTCTTGTTATTAAAGCGTGTCAACTCACTATAATATTATTAGCCGGAAATACAAGACGGACGAGTAAGTTTTTGTTTGTCTTGAGTTGGAGGGTCAAAGTAGGAGGCGTGTGCTATGTCAGGAGAGCGCATAAGGGCAAGTTGCTAAAATTGGATGCCACCAGTTTGGCAGTATTGGAATAGGGAGCATGCAGGGAAAGCAACCTGGAAAAAGAAGACGGGAGAATATTGAGGGCAAGTTCCACCTTCTTCAATCCTGTATGAACCATTGTTCATTTTAAAGCATAATCAGATCCCAGAGTTTGTGTTCAGAGGAGAGGAGAAAACCTAGGGACACTGAGTTTAGTTTGGGAACCTTAACTGCACTTCAAAGTAGATACAAACCCAGCTCAGAGCACGTGGAAAATCCTGAAAAGAAATCAGAAGTTACAGTCACGATAATGTAAAAATAAATCAGAGCACAACTCCCTTCTTTATTTTCATCTTGTCTTTCCCATTGAATTTTTTTAAATGTACGGAGGGAAATGGGTTTCCTGGAGAAACCATCCTAGCCCTAAGTTCCTTCCCCTCTCCCCCTCCACACGGTGACTAATCATGAAGGACAAGTAGGAAAGAATTAGAGCTTTGTTTCTTTCACAGGCCTGGAGAAAGAGAAGCTGATTTTTAAAAATGAGCAGGCAAATGCAATATGGTATCCTGGGTGGAACCACACAACAGGAAAAGAATTCTATCAAAGCCTGGAGCATTGCAGTACTAATACAATTAGTATTATAATTTCATCAGTTATACCATCACAATAGACGATGTCAGCCGCTGCCTCATCCATTACCCAGAGTCCTTTTGCTTCATCTCTTTTTAGTAGCATTAAGTCAGCCTTCCTTATTCGTGCTACCACAGTCCTAAGTGAGCTCTGGAATGCCATATGGATACACATGGCTGTGGGCACGGACCTAGCTCTTCCGCCTCTAGCTGAGCTACGTGGTTGGCACCTACCTAACCTGCTTGCCCCAAAAGAGGAGAACAGGCCGTGCCACGTGGCCCACGAGTGTTCGCAGCTGCTGAGGAATGTGAAGCTTCTCTGTAATACGAATACAGAAAACAAACATGGTTTGGTTGCCACTGAAATGTTTATTGTTGGATGCCTGAAGGGAAGACACATTCTCAGATGAGTTCCCGAGCAGTGTCTCCTGTAAGGTTGTCTAATGGAGGCAGTTTAGAGATTTATGCGCTTAAGTGTAAAAACATGTAAACTCGTAAAAATAATGATGTGGCAAAGGGATGATAATCACAGTTTGAGTCATTGTTCTATGTCTCTTTAGGATGATTACAAAAGATTATGATGATTATACTTATAAATTACAGGTGTATTATAACTATGGAAGTAAGTAGTAGTGATCATATTTGTACCTAATTACTAGCATTCCTTTATGCAGCAGCTACATCTTTTATAACATTATGATAATAACGTTGTACCTGGGTTTTTTAGTAAGAGTTTTAAATAGTGTTTAAGAGGTCAATGAAGAGTGAAGTTTACTTAAAGAAAAAAAGAAAAACATTTTTTTCCAGTTTCTTGGTTTATTTATATGTATGAAACATACTTGTGAAGTTGAAGCTACTTAAATAGAAGTTCAGAAATAATTAGTGACCCGAACAAATGAGACAAGGCAAAAGCACATACTAGGAAATGATGGAGAATGGGTGGGGAATATTAGACCAGGATTCTGCCATCTACTCCATTAGAAAAGTAAATTTAGCATGAGACAGAAAGTTCGCCAGTATAGGACTTGAAATCATGAGCATTTACACAACACATGAATTTATAAACCTAGGGTCTCTGCTGATAAATTTGGAATGTTCTACCTTCCTAAAGATGTCAGCTACAAAGAACTCACATGATGAAATAATAGCATAGCTTCCCACTGGACTGAGATATGACATGTGACATTACCTTGAAATGCGTGAGGCGCAGACTGAGATGAAGCTTCTTTTATTCTGTCATTTGCTTTCATAAATGATTTTAGTAATAAGAACATGTAGGCTATGTGAAACGGTTTTTTGGTAAGTATCAGTGTAGTGTTATAGAGGACATTTTCCATATATATACTATATGCCACTAAGATAAGAAAGACTTACATGGTCACTCTCTTTCTCATAGAACCAGTTTTTCATAAGTTGTGCTGATGACAAAGTTGTGTTCAACAAGATTGGTGATGCCATTGCACAGAGGATACTGAAAGCTCACAGGTAACAGTTTGGCATTTGGGTAGGAGTGGTTACTGCAAATGTTCTTGCATTTACTGCTAAAATGACTTTGGAAAGCCCGTGTTATAATGCTGTCTTTTCCTAGCAGGCATAAATTGGGTTCAGCTAGCAGTAGATTATCGGTTCCTTCAATCTGATTTCAGTTGCTGAGAGTTTTGAGTCCATTTTTTAAGCAATCGGAATTTTTCCAGGGCATAGTTATTTTTTCCTGGCCAGTCTCTTTCCCATGCCATTGGAGTTGTGATTTGATTTATTTAGTGGCAGACAGTGAACTGTGTTCACTTAAAAATCAAAGCAAAACAGTCATCGTATTTTTCCATGGGTTATATTTAAATGCTTGTTATCCTCTGTCTTACTTCTTCAGCGCATGGGATTATTTTTTAATAACAATGTTATTAAAATATAATTCACATACCATACAACCCAGCCACTTAAAGTGTACAATTCAGTGACTTCTAGCATATTCACAGGGTTGTGCAACTGAACCCTAGTCAGTTTTAGAACATTTTCATCACCCTAGAAGGAACCCTGTGTCTATTAACAGTCACTATCTACTTCTCCTTATTTTATCCTCTTGCAACCGCAAATCTACTTTCTTTCCCTATAGATTTGCCTAGTCTGGGCATTTAATATAAATGGAATCCTACAATATGTGGTCTTTTGTGACTGACTTATTTCACTTAATGTTTCTAAGACTCACCTATGTTCTAGGATGTTAACAGTATTTCATTTATATTTATTGCCAGGTAATATTCCATTTCCTGGGTATACTGTATTCTCCTAACCCATTCATCAGTTGGTAGATGTTTGGGATATTTCCAATGTTTGGCTATTATGATTGATGCTGCTATAAATACTCTGTGTTAGTTTTTATGCAGACCTAGTTTTATTACTCTAGAGGTAGAATTGCAGGGTAATCTATGTTTAATGTTTTGAAAAGCTGCCCGAAGGTTTTCAAAAACAGCTATGCTATTTTACATTCCTTTAATGTATGAGGGCTCCAATATCTCTGTATCATTGTGAATACTTACTATTATCTCTTTTGGATTATAGCCATCCTAATGGGTTTGAAATGATATCTCATTATGGTTTGGACTCGAATTTCCCTCATGACTAATGATGTTGAGCATTTTTGCTTGTTTGTTTATTGGCCATTTCATGTATTATCTCTGGAGAGCTATATATTCACATTTCTTGCCCATTTTTAATTAGGCTTTTTATTGTTGAGTTGTAAGAGCTCTTTATATAGCTTGGATACAAGTATCATCTCAGAGTTATGACTTACAAATATTTTCTCCTATTCAGGGTGTTTTCTTTAATACTTTCTTGATAGTATCTTTTGAAACACAAAAGTTTTTAATTTTGGTAAAGTTCAGTTTATCTGTTTTTTCTTTTATTGCTTAAGCTTTGTGCCATAGCCACAAAATCACTGCCTAATCCAAGATGATGAAGATTTACACTTCTTTTCTCCTAAGAATTTTATAGTTTGAGGCCTTGCATTTAGGTCTTTGATTCATCTTGAGTTATTTCTCATACATGGTGTGAGGTAGTGGCCCCATTTCATTCCTTTACATGGGGATATACAGTTGTACCAACACCACTTGTTGAAAAGGCTGTTCTTTCTCTACCAAATTGTCCTTCCGTCCAGACTACTTCTTTTCATGGCTGCTTTTGGATCTGTGTAAAGGCAACAAAATAAACGACACCATTACCTTTTAAATTCCTTGAACACATGCAGTGGGAAATGTTAAGTACATACACATTTGGGGATTAAAATATCGTTTTACTTCCAGCATCACATGGCACTTTAGTATCTTTTTTTTTTTTACACATAATAGTGGGGATTTTTAGAACTAAGAACATTTTACAACAGTAACTACCAGTATTTTTTATGATCAGTAGTTTTGAGACTCTTACTGAACCTTCACAACTACTCTTGAAAGTGTATCATGTAGTCCTTGTGATTGTTACTGTTATTATTATCATTGCTGTCCCCATTTGTGGAGACAAATGTTAGATTCGAGAGGTGATGTCACTTGACTAAGCCACTAACAGCAATAGGCAAAAATGGCTTTGAGCCCGAGCCTTTGGACTTCCAACCCAGTGCCTCTCCCCATACCACATGACTTGAGTTCATTGACAGGTAGGATTTAAGACCCCTGCAGGGTTGCCACAGTTTGGAGCAAGTGGGTTGGGCCTTTGTTGTCCTCCCCCAACCAGTCATCAGGTACAGGCTGACTTGAGGAAATAAGCACGACCTTGTGTGAGGGCAAGGAGGGCAATTCCTGGAGAAGGACTTCACTGTGAGTGGTCAGCAGTCAACACTCGCAGCAGTTGAGCCCATGGTCAGGGCACTTAGGTAGCACGTCACATTACCCACCACATCCTGCAAGGTATACGGTAGATCTTGCCCTTTACTACACATCAAAATCACCACTGGACTTTTTTTTTTTTTTTAAGTTTTATTATTTTAAAGAGAGGGTGCAGGGAGAATCTTAAACAGGCTCCATGCCCAGTGTAGAGCCCGACTCAGAGCTCAACCCCATGACCGTGAGATCAGGACCCGAATCAAAACCAAGAGTCAGACGCTCAACCAAATGAGCCACCCAGGCGCCCCTCATCATTGGACTTTTACAAAAATTCAGAGAGCTGGACTTGATCCAGACTTGCTGAGTCAGAATTTCCTGGAGTGGGGCCCAGGCACTTGTGTTTCATAATGGTCCACCGGTAACTCCAGGGCATGGCCGAGACTGCTCCGTGCTCACTGAGAACAGCGTGCGTGGTCCTAAGTATTAATAATGATCTGTGCTTTTCCAGGTGACCTCTATCTTTTGCCCTCTCACATACTTCTTTCAAGAAAGTGAGCAAGGGATCTGTTTCCAAGATGACTCAAAAACAGTCTTGTTTACAGTTAAACATAACACATAACACGCAAAGATTTCTTGCATCATGCCAGTCTAATTTACAAAATTAAATTATCTGTCAGCTCTTGAATTTCATTGATGCAGGAGTATCCACTTTATCTGTAAAGCCCATTTGACAAAAAAGTATTTTTTTTTTCATGAAATTGAAATGAGTTGCAGAAATCCAATAAGCAGACAGATGAACTCACTGGGCTGAGCGGCAAATGAGGAATGTGGTGGCTGTGATCAGCTAATAAGGAGAGTAGGATGAACCTCAGTTTCACTCATCCAAGTTATTAGTTCCCTGTAGTATATCCATTAATAACTACCTGTAACCCTTGTTTTTAAAGGGTTGGAAGTCTGAAAGAACATTTTTTCCTTAGCATCCTAATTTGTCTTTAAAAATCTGGACTTCTGAAATCACACTGTTTCAGGGCTGGAAGGAACTTTACGATATTTTCTGATTGAACATTTCCCAGTGATCCCGTGAGCTGCTTCTAAGAGGAAAAGGGATCTGTGGTGAGATAGCACGGGAGCCCCAGCATCTGCTGCAGACTGTGTCTCACACGTGGAAGTTCAGAGAGCACATTAAAGATGCAATTTCAAAACTACTCTGTAGAAAATGGGAAATGAGTCCATTGAATTTCAAATGAACTGTGTTGTTTAGCTCTGATCTCTCCATCGTCTCCCTTTTTTTGACAGTCACATTTCAGAGGGTCTGTATATCACACATAAAATTTCTCATGGATACACACACGTATCCTGGAAATATATTTTACATTTTTCCCCCTTCCTTTTAGCCCCACATTATTGTTCACCTCCTGTGTTCATTGTAACAGTAAAATATGTTTTCATTTGATAGTTTCAAGTCTGTGAGCTTGTGCTCTTAGCAAAGGGAGAGGTGGGTAAAGAGCTTATCCTGCAGCCGGCCGGCAATGCTGCCCATCCCCCTTTCACTGAGGGCCACCGAGTGCCGTGCCCAAGTTCACCCCCTTGCTTCCTTCACTGACTCTTCTGTGCTCCACTCTTCTGAGACTCTGAGCTTCCCTGCCAATGTCACATGCCTAGCAACAAGTATAATTTTGGCTGTTGGAAAAGGAATAGAATCTACACAAAGCAGACGGAGGGAAATGACAGTCAGCATTCAGCCAGGCCTGACCAAGGAACACAGGCTGTCGTCCAGGTCCCCCCCACCCTGGAAAGATCAGAGTCTTTTAATGGCCAACTCCCTCGACTGGGCTGAGACTTTATTTTTATGCCAGTGCTGGAATCCAGGAAACACCAGTTCCCTGAAGTGAGTCCTCTGCCTTCCTCACTTCCTCCTGGTTCCTTCTCAACAGCCATAATGCTTTGCAGAAACAGGTTTTTGCAAAGACTTCACATTCTGCTCCATGACCTAGAGCCTCAGAACGTTGTTCATCCTATGGCGAACCAAGAGTCGCTGTGGCAATCTATGCAGAAAACAGAAGGTCTCCTCTAATAAGGAAAACTGTGCTGGAATTGAGACCAGCTCTCAAGCCACTGGAAGCCCGTCTTCGACAACTCAAATCTGACTGGAGACCAGGGAGAAGAGATCATCTGGTTTATACCATGTTTGCATAAGCCAAGCGAAAGAGAAGCAACTGATCCAGGTAGAAATTTTAAAACATAGTGTGCCATGAATAAATGATTTCTGAGTATGAAACAATTCTGCTTCTGGAAACCTGCCACACATAATTCTGCTGCTTTGGTAAACAGGAAGTGAGAGAGCCCATTTTGCATTCTTATCAACAGAGTTGACACATGCAATGAAAATAGGCCATCAGTTTAATGCCTCCACATTTTAATACTAAACTACATTGAAAAATGCACAGTTTTGAAAATTGCTCAAATTCTTCCTGCTCCCTCTAACTGTAGAACAGTGCCAGACGGTGCTTGCGGTTTGCCCGGGAATGGGTGGCATGGGGTATCCGGAATTATTTGGGGACCAGGTGTCTGGCAACACAGGTTCTTTTCAACTCTGTTACTTACGGGCATGTGACCTTTCAACCTATCAGTTGATCTTTCTGACACTCTGTTTTCTCAGGCTGAAAGAGAAAA